GTCTGGTGAGGTTCTTGATCTCTTGTATCCTTTGGCGCACTACCAACAAGGTAGGCAAGATCAGCCTTCAGAGTTCTCTGATTATACTGTTCTTCTAACCTCTGCTCCAAGTTATGATTTATGTGCATCCGCCAATATTGATTCTCTTCATTCTTTCGTCAATTCCGATTCTCTTCATTCCTTGGTGACCTGCGGACCTGCCTGTAGCCTATGGGCTTCTTCTCAAATAAACTGCCCGCAGGCACACATCTAGAAGCTTCTGTATTGCTACTGATAAAACTTCTTGAAAATTGTGTGTGCCTCAGAGCAGGAACTGGGGTGCTTACTATTGTCATCTATTCATCGGAACTGAAGCTGCAGCAAGCTTGATCCGCTGTTTATCCATCGGAATTGGAGTTGGCTTGCTCTGCTGTTTTCCATCGGAGTTGGAATTGGAGTTGAAATCGACTTGATCTGCCATTGGAGTTGGAATCTGCTTGATCTGATGCTTACCATTGGAGTCGGCTTGATCTGATGTTTATCCATCGCACTTGAAGTTGGCACTAACTTGATAACAGGACCCATGGAGCATGGGGCTCTTTTCTTAAATAACTCAATCATTTGCTGCACAACAGCTGCAAATGTATTTGATCGTCAGACATGACAGGAAAGTGATGGTACTGAGAAATACATAAATTTATATAGTTCAGTGAATGAAAAAAGAAGAGAAAAATACATGGTCGGTAAAGATGAGCAACGGGCCGGCACGGCATGGCACGGCCCGAGCCCGGGCCAGGCACGGCCCGATCGGGCTCGGGCCTTTTGTTCATCCGGAACCACCGGCCGCGGCGTCTGCTGAACGATCCAGTGTGCACGTCGGACGCCCGAACGCGGTCCGTGGGCGAATATCGGGCCGTGCCGGCCCGTTGAGCCCGCGGCCCACTGGTCCATCGGGCCAGCCCATAGCCCGTTACACAGTAAATACCATATTTAACAGCACAATCACAGGTTCACATATTCATATTTAACAATCACAGAAACACCAGATGACAAAATATTTGAGCTTTTTATGCAATGCCGTCTCATTAAAAACCATTCTAGTTAAAACTCACACCTCATGAGATAAAACCCTAGAAAAAAAAAAAAGTACGACCAAATTTCAATAAATTAAAACGGGCCTCCTCCACCGGCCGGCCGTTGTAAAAGCAGGCTCTTGCGTCTTGCGCGGCCGAACCTCACCTCAAGCTTCAAGCCTGCTACGGGCCACGGGCGGCACCGGGCCAGTTAGGGTTCGGTATCTTGGTGCTCGGTCGGGCCCAATAACCGTGCTTTGGGCCGGGCCTTTAGCCCACGGGCTGCATGCACATCTTTAATGGTCGGTCCTTCGCCTTAGCGCAAGGTGTCATCTATGTCCTTCTACTTTGAAAATATTATTTTTTGTCCATGAACTTGGTTTCAGATATCTTCTAGGTCTAAACGGGTCCTAACCCAGCTCTGTACGCTTACGTGGCACGCTGACTATGCATCCGACATGTGGGGCCCACTGGTCAGGTCATTCTCTCCTCCTTCCTCTGTCTCCTCTCTCTGGTGCGCCCGCTCATCTCTCTTCGTCACGGCGGAAGACCAGCTCCAGGCGGGTTCCCGACGCCGGCAGCCGCTGCTCCCGGGACGCGCCTCCCCAGGCCACGCCGCCGCACCCAGCGCGACGCGCGCGCGGCGCCAACTCCCCCTCGACGATGGAGACACGCACATACGTTTCCTGAACAAATCCATTAAGATCACAGCAGCCTCCCCCGTTTCCCTCTCACCTCTGCATGAAAACCGAGCCCCCTGCCGATCTTTTTCATCCACCATGGAAGAGAAATAGGAAGCTGCAGTGGCTGCGAAGGCGTGATGGCATCGTGCAGTACCCTCACCTCTTCTTCGCGGCTCTGGCGCTGGCCCTCGTAGTCGCGGACCTGTTCGGCCTCAGTCCGTCTCAAGCACGGGAGGCTGGAGTTCGTCAGCGAGGTGCTCGGGCCGGAGTCCATCTAGTTCGATCGCGAGGGCTGCGGGCCGTACGCCGGCCTCGCCAACGGCCGCGTCGTGCGGTGGATGGGCGAGGAGGCCGGGTGGGAGCCCGCGCCGCGCCGACTTGCAGAGGAGCAGAGCGCGCTCGAGGAGCCCGCGCTGCGCCGCGCACTCGGCCTGCCGCTCGCGCAGCCCGCGCCGCGCCGCCGCTTCGCTCGCGCTAGGCAGACAGACCGCCGCCAGGGCCTCCGCCGCTCGCCGTCGCGCTCGGTTCTCCAGCGTCAGAGCCGCACCTCCAGGAGGGCCTGCACGGCTGGGCCCCAACCCCGGCGGCAGCGCCGTCCTCCCCGCGCGCTCGACGCGGCGCTGGGGCTAGGTGCAGGGGCGGGACCGGACGAGCAAGCTCGGAGGAGAAAAGAAACGGTAGGAGAGAACCTGACAAGTGGGCCCCACATGCTGGATTGACTTTCATGCACAGTCAGCGTGCCACGTACAAAGCAGCTAAGGACCCGTTTGGACTTGGACGATACTCGAAGCCAAATTCGTAGACCCAGGAATATCACTTTTAAAGTAGAAGGACATAGATAACTCCTTACGCTGAGTTAAAGAACCGGCCATGAATTTTCCTCAAAAAAGAAAGTAACTTCATGTCGTGTGTTCCTTTCAACAGATCTGTAGCAACATTGAACTCGTGCGACCATATTATCCCATTCTGGGAAGGAAGTTCGACGTCGTGAAATTTGGCAGCAAGGTATAGCGATCCGGTAGCTCTGTAGAGTGGTTTGAACTGCACAACTAAAGTAGTCGGAGAACTTTCAGTCTCCACGAGTCGCGGGGGAGCTCGAGGGCAGATACGGCGGCTCATGCAACGCCGCAAAGCTTTTGTTGGCCCTACAGCAGCTCGCATAACGCCGCATAGCTAACATCCAGTCGTGGGTGTAGGGAGATCGAACAGGCAGGCAAATGATGAAGCATGCGAGGTGGCTCCATATGCCATACCAAGGAGCACGGTGAAGGCATCAGTGTAAAGCACGATGTCGTGCCCTTGCTTCGCTTCCGTATTCGCTCTATTCTATCTTGGTTCTTCATGAATCTTCTCTGTCCTCTCTCACTTTGGGCCTTCATGAATCTTCTCTGTCCTCTCTCACTTTGGGCGTAGTGACGTTAGAGTGAGCATTGACATTCTAGAGCACGCACGAGGGTGCCGAGCATGGGCGACGCCTCCGATGAGGACGACATCAACCCCACAGTCACTACTACGATGGAGGATGGCGGCGGCGCAGCGGCAACGACAACAATTCCACGCCATGCTGAGGGTTGGAGAGGCCAGCGCGTTTGGAAGACGGCATGTTCGGGTTCGACAAGGGTTGGCGACTTGGCGTTAGTTGTTTCCTCGGTTACTCCTTCCTTGAGCCTTCGCAATCGCCCCTTTGGGCTATGTGGAAGAGGTGTGTCAACCCGCTTATGTCTCAAAGGCATGTAGCATGGGTCTACGTGGGCTTATGTCGCGGGTACCCAGTACGTTAGCGGTTTGTTTCACGCCACTTACATCCCTAGTCAGAATATACTGTATACAAGAGAAAAAGGACACGTGCTCACTCCCTGCGTAGTTTGAGCCACTATAGCTGTAGGTCATTTTGGGCTCCTTTAATAATCAAAAACGCTTAATAGAGAGCGCGTACGCTCATTATGTTCCGCCTGTACACCCTGTCATCACGTTGTCACGCACCAACGCGGTCTTTCCTCTCCCCGGTCTCTCTCTCCTTGACTCCTCCGTCCTCCCCACCGCACGCCTTCTCTCTCTTTCCGGCGACCTCCCCGGCGGCTGTCCCGCGCCCAACTCAGTCGGATCCGGCCGGCCGTCCCGCACCCGCGCCCCACCGCCATCACCCATGCCATGGCCGTGCACCACCCCGTCGGAGCTCGCCGGCCATGGTAGATCCGCCTCAGCCATGGTGGATCCACGCCAGGTAGGCCTCTTCCTTCTCCTACTCTTCCTCTTCCTCCACGTTAGGGTTCTAGCGAGCTACCCCTTTCTTCTCCAACTCCGCCGGGGTATAGAATGGCCGGCCGGGGGGAGGCAGGTAGGGCAGGCGGTGGGGATGGTCGATGGGCGGCTTAGGGAGCTGGTGGTGACAGGGGCGATCGGACCAGACGGTCGGGGGGGGGGGCTGTCGGAGCCGAGGAGATGGTGGCGGTGGGGCGGGGAAGAGGGTGGCCGCCCATGGCCACTGATGGCTGGAGCTGGCGGTGGCCGGCGATGGGGGTGAGGGCACCGGAGTCGGGTAAGAAAAAGATCTTCTCTGCTATTTTTTTTTCATGTTTTGGCAATCAAAATAATTTGTTTCCTAAATTAGAGTGCGTAGCCGGAAATTGGAATTCCTGCACGCGGACGCTCTAGCAAGTAAGGTTCTTAATAAATAAGAATGAGATGGTTTAGCGCATAGAGAGAGGAGAGACTACCGAATGTATACATAAAGTCTTCTATACTAACTGTGTTAAAAGAAAGTCTTCTACTATACTGTATCGCTATAGTGTTCCTTTTCGTAAGCGGACCGTGAGACAGCCGGACCGGTTACTCGTCGGACCAGCCTCCTCATCACCCGTGGGCCGGGTGCACAGTGACGTGGCGCTCCGTTCCCGCAACAACAAAACCTCGCGCACGGACCGCGTGCTTCCCGTCTCCTCCTTCTCCTCTCTCTCTCTCTCTCTCTCTCTCTCTCTCCATCCCGCACCCTTCCCAATTCCCCACCCTCGCCGCCGCCGCCGCCGCCCCCGCAGCCAGCCAGCCAACAACTCCACCGCATCCGAAGCCATAGCCACCGACCGCGGCCGCCGCGAGGACCTGCGCGCCGAACTCCAGCTGCTTCCCCTGGCCTGCTCGGCGCGTGCCCCGCGCCGGGGCCTGCCATGGTGGGGTGGAGCTAGGAAGGCGTGAGCTTCGCGACCGCGCCGGCGGAGGAAGAGGCGTGGGAGCGCGCGACAACTAAGGTGGGCGCCTCGCCCTCCGGATGGCCGCCGATGACGCGGCGCGGAGCAGCAGACGGATGGATCTGAACCTCTACCTCGGCCTCCCCCGCGCCCCGCGCGCCCGCCGCCCCGATCTCGGCTCCGACCTCGCGCTTGGCACCCCGATGCTGTCTTCATCGTCTCCCTCGTCCTCGGCTGCCTCCGCGGACGCGCCGCCGCTGGAGACGGATCCGCTCCACCCGCCCTACTCGCCGTCCCGCGCCGACCTGGTGCGCCCGCCGACCCCGGCGCACGAGCCCTACAACCCGTTCGCGCCCGAGGCGCACCCGCCCTACGTGCCTCTACCACCACTGCCGGTTCCAGGGGCTTTACCTGTGCTCGCTGATGAGCTTGAGTTCGGTTTTTCCGACGCGCACCTCAGTCTGGTCGAGCGTTTGGACCGGCCGTCGTCGTCGACCGCATCCTCTCCCTTCCGCCCGGATCGTGCTGAGCGCTACCGCCGCTTGATGTCCTTGGGCGGGTCTCGCTACTTCCGGCCAAGAAGGTTCCGGTCCGACCTTCCACCTCTCAGCTCAGAGGCCCCTAGCCTGGAGAATGATGCTGCAGCGCAACCACTTGAACCGGAAGAGCCTGTCCATGATACCGTGGAGGAGAACAAGGTGGTTGCCGATGGTACTGTTGTGGGTGTCTCAGAGGACGATGGAACAGAGCATGGTAAGAGTGCTGCAATGTTCGAGTGTAATATCTGTTTTGAAATGGCTGATGAACCAGTGGTTACCTCCTGCGGCCATCTCTTCTGCTGGCCTTGTTTATATCAGTGGTTGCATGTCCACTCCAGCCATAAGGAGTGCCCTGTCTGCAAAGGAGAGGTTACTGAAGGGAACATCACTCCTATCTATGGGAGAGGGAATTCAGGTTCAGATACTGAGAAGAAGGTTGCAGAGGATGGCAACGCATCTGGCCCCAAGATTCCACCAAGGCCACATGGGAATCGGCTAGAGAGTTTCCGGCAGCAGTTCCACCATTTGCGGCCCATATCTAGAAGGCTTGGGGAGGCGCATGGTTTTTTGTCTACGTGGAGGCGCATTCTTGATCAGCATTTGGCGAATAGCATGAGTAGACTTGAAGGGGCTCCTGAACCATCTGTCTCGGAAACTGCTCAGCATGCAAGCCGTTTGGGCCGAATGACTACTAGGTTGAGAGCGAGGAGGTTGCAAAGGGAAGCGGAAAACACTACATCCGTTGTTTCATCTGCACCAGATAGTGGGCAGCCTGGAAACAGTACATCCGATCTGGCAAGGCGCTCTTCAAGTCCGCTTCACTCAGAAGGGATGGATTTATTGCGACACATTGCCTTCGCTGGTCTTGAAGACACAGAAAGGTTTGCGACTGCTGTCAGTGAACTAAGGCGAATTGCTAGGCCAAGCCCCTATGGGGCATCAACTTCATCAAACCCACCAAATCCTGAGCCTGTTGATGGAACTCATATTGCCACAGCACTGGCTGCAGATCAAGCTTCTAATTCGAGCACCATGGCAGTGATTCAGGAAGATGCGGCTTTTACTGAAAGTGCTGGAGAACCTAGTAATGCAGGGTCTTCAAGATCCCTGAGAAGAAGAAGAGGAAGTGATGCCTTAGGTTCTTTGGATGTGGATGGTGGAGACCTACATCAGAATAAGAGAAGGCGGCTGAACTAAGCTGAAGGCAGCTAAAATGAAGCTAGCAGGTTGCAGCAATATTCTAATTTGCTTGGTGTGGTCTTCTCAGTTTAGCCTTTTTACCTCTTTGGTAGGTAATATGTGCCCTGTGTGGTATGAAGTTGTTCATCTGCTACTAGTTTACTAGGTAGCGCTTGGTTGCCTTAATTCCATCCGACCTGTTTAATTTATGCGATCGCTCAAGACATGTATACTGAGGAAACCTGGCGGTTGTCATCAGATGAATTTTCCTTGATAGTAAATTGTATGTGCAGATCTGTATTTTCTTGATGGTAAATTGTATGTGCAAATCTGTACTCAATGAATTCGGTCTCTAGCTGAGAAATAACACATGGACACCGGAGCTTATTTGTGGATAGCTTCTGATTCTACTGAACATTGAGCTCGACAGCTCTATGTGATGAACATACAGACTTTTGCGCTGTTGTTCTTCGCAGTTGCTTTGTGGCTAACCTTACCTGGCAATGAGGTATGCTGGTTGCAGAATCACCAGTCTTCGTTTTTCCATCTCATGCTCACTTTTTGTCGTCTGTTTCTCTGAATTATCTTTGTTACCCTATGAGTTTACGAAATTTTCTATGCCAACTGTAGTCATATAATGGCTTATAGGTGTGTTTACACGTATTCCACGCTGCTGCTTTCTATTCTTTCATTGATGTTTATCTGTTTGGCAAGGTCATTGCTGCACATTACCCAGTATTTAGTTAAGACTTATGACTCTTTATTAAGACTTATGACTCTTTATTATGTTGGAGAAGATCTGTCACTTGGTATTGTTATATTGGCCTGGAGTTGAACATTCTCTTTTATTGTATAGTCCGAGAAATATCTATCTACTAGTAGTCTAGTGCAAGAGAAAGAGGTGTATAGCACTGAGGCTGGTTTGTGGTTTGATTAGGGAGTTCGGATTCAAATTTTTAGTTATGCCAGATTTGGAATAAAGCTCGAGAACTTGTAGGGCGATCCCCAAGCAAAATTGCCCTTTGAATGTCTTTGGTTGCATATGCCCTTTCTGTGCTCATTTTTCCTTGTAGACCTTGATACATTTTCATTTTTTCCATGGTTGCATGGTTTGGCTGTCATGCAAGTCTTATTTGCATCTAGCTTTTCCTAAACAAATACGTCCTCCTATCCTAAATGTTGGTTGTTTTAGTCTTTTAGATTTTGCACAAGGATTAGGAAAGTAGTTAAAATGACCTTAATGTCTTTCATTTATACCGCACTGGTAAAGATAAAAGGATGGAAGAAAAAGAGTAAAATATGGATAGAAGTTCTAAGTTGAGAAGGCAAAACGAATATAGTTGCATTCAGAGTATTGTTTAGTCGAGTCATATTTAAGGAATTCATTGAAAATGCTCTAACCCAAGTATTAGGCAGCTATGGCTGATTTGGATCCTTTTGGACTTGAAAATCCATTATAGGTTTAAGACCAGAATATGTAATTTGAAAGTTTGTGGACCTGGACCAGTGGTGGAACCAGGATTTTGCAGCTGGGTATTCCACATCCAAAAAAATTTAAATGCAAATATGCAATATATTAGATTGGATATTTGCCTTTAAATTAGAATATCGAGATTATTTCAATTTTTATAAAGGACTGGAGACCAGAGAATGGATCTGGGAGAGGGAGACGCCAAGCCGAGGGGAGCGGAGCTGGGAGGGGGACTGAGCCACCGAGGGAGAGGGACGCTGTCGTGCTTGCTGCTGCTGACTGTAGTGACCACCAACACTTCAACACAATCCACTCTACCGTTGGACACTGGTTGCCGACTGTAAGAGCAAGGGGGCGAGTTGAGCAGACAACGAAGCTGGGAGGGGCTTGAGGAGCCGAGGAGGGGTGCTGGTTGTGCCGTGACTGATGGCCGCCACCACTGCTTCCGACTTCCGAGTCAATGTACCGCAACTTGCCCATTGAGGCGCTGTGCCATGGACAGAGGGTGCCGAATCGCCGATTCACCGAACGGGAGAGCAGAGACGAGATGCGGTTTCTAGTGACTTCATGGGCTGGTAGTAGGTCTATTGTGCTTATAGACCAATGCAATTTACAATATATTGTACAATTACAAACATATGCCTTTGTACATATATTTGTTTCAAGTGACTTTGTGGGCTAGTAGTAGGTCTATTGTGCTTATGAACTAATTTACAACATACTATACAATTATACATATATACCTGTGTATATATATTTGTTTTTGTTGCAAAAATATGGGTATTCCAATGCATGACAAGTTCAGGGTATGCTGATGGAATTCACCATTTTTACCTGACTCTGTTCCATTGTGTCCATTTCTATAATTGGATTCGTATTTTATAATCATATATAATAGTGCTGTCATTTTTTTTTCTGCTGTTGGTTCGATGCCTGATGATCTGCTTGAACTACTGAACACTGCGTCTCAGCCACGTGATCTTCCGGTTGCATTGTAGGAGTATGATCACAGCATCCTCGGGCGCTTTCTCCATCCGGCACATCTGACATGACAAGGTCACACGTCACATGGCTCACAGCCACCCCCCACATGTCCAGTGTTCACCCAGGCAGATCGTCAGCTGACATGACAAGGTCACACGTCACATGGCTCACAGCCACCCCCCACATGTCCAGTGTTCACCCAGGCAGATCGTCCTCGGTTGAGGACCGAGCGTAGCTCGGTTAGCTTGCTCGCTGCCAGCGGCCGGGCGTGAGTTCGAACCCTCGGTAAATTTGCGGGTCCTGTGTATCTTTCTGCTGCCGTGTTTTTGCCACCGCTTGGGTCCTGATCTCTGTGAAGCGGTCGTCCCTGCTGTGGTGTGTCGTTTTCGCCTCTCGTTCGCTGGTGACAGGGACACTTTGGTTGATCCGTTGAATTTTACTGAAAAAGATGGGGATGGTCACTGTGCCCGGGACATTGACTGAGATGTTCTTTTGCGAGTGTAGTGTAGTGCCAAATCGACGGCATGAACCATAATGTCCAGTCAAACTTTTTCTGGAAACGGATGCTAAATGAACACAAACCTGTTATTGAATTCATTTCACTTATCTAAAAGATTCCTGATTCATCCTCCGTCGCCACTCGGCACCAAGCCCATCAGTCGCCTATGCGATCAACGGAAGCGGACCGCGGACGCCATGTTCTGAATGAATCGCACTCGCCTGATCGGTCCATGCCCACCTCTACGACTCCACGCGGCTGTGTTGAAGCTGGTGCGCAAGGAGTGCGCCCAAAAGCCGAGGATCATCCATTCGAACTTTCGAAGCGCTCCATTAGAATTTAGAATTGGCACACGGACCACATACCGTGGTCATGGTGCATTTTTTCAACCATTTGGCATGCAATTCTGCGAATGCCTGGGCAACACACGCGAATAAGAGCGAATGACACAACTGACGTGGTACGCAGTATACAACATTCTTCGCCAAAAAATTATTCTACCCACCATTGTGTAGCCAGCCACAGGATCAGTATTTGAATTGTGAGAGGACAGATCCCTCGTGATGTCAAAAATAGGAATTAAACTCATCTCCTGCAGACACAAAAGAAGCAGCTCCAGGCTCAGGCTCCTCGTGCCAATGAACAAGCCTCACAAGAAAAGGGTGCATGTAAATAACTTCTGCGATTGCTTCAGCATGAAACGAACGGGAGGAATTGCAAGTCTACAGAGGAAAGAGAAGCTACTTCGGCTGCCATGGCAAGTTTCTACATGGGCGAGGAGAAGCTGAACTGGATTCCAGACTTCGAACTGTCATGCTCAGCTTGCTTTAGGATGTGACAATAGTTCACCTGGATAATAAAGATGAAAAAGATGAAGTTAGTCTTGAAGTGGATACCCAAAGTATCAAAGTCGAAAGCATAAATGGGAAAGGAAATATACCTCCACCCGGAAAAGTTTAGTAGGCAAAATAATGCCAACACCAGCAGAGCTCCGGAATGTGCGCTGAAATTCAGAAGCCGAGAAGTTCTTATACTCACCCTCCGACAATTTTGCAAGGTTTCCAGCAGTAAGGAATGCATGGCCATGAATTCCAGCATCTCTGAATATCTTGAGAGGTAGATCAAAAGAAAGGTCAGCAAAGGCAGACACGGCCAGATCACCTCCCAAGTAATCCCTTCCAGGGTCAGCTGAGCCACTCTCCGATTTATCAAGGACATGCCTCCGTGCCTCTGTTGGGCCAACTCCCCTTAATCTGAAACCCAGCAGAGATGACAGTCCGCCCAAGCTGCAAACTGGAGAAGAATTACCTCCAAGATAAAACCTCTCTGGCACTGGTAAAGTCGAATTCATGAATCCCCCTCCAAGTGGTAAAATGACACCCGCTCCTACACCAACGTTGAGAGCAGCATTATAAAATCCCAAAGGCACAGCACCACGCACATCAAACTCCTGAAAGCAAAGCCACGATAATATATTTGTGAGAAAGTGATGGTCAGAACTGAGATCAAATGATAAAATTATACATTGATGCAATTATTACATAGTTTCACCCATGAACTGCAAGGGCCAGGCGAAAAAAGGTCAGGCAGAAAGGGCAAGAGAGTAACCTGCCGAAAATATCTCAATCCTTTGCTATTCCATAGACCACCAACTTGAGAAGTTGACTGAAACGCATATCCTTTTGTTGGCCTAAGATGTGAATCCCTCTTATCAATCTTGTATATGTACTTCAATGCAGAAAGAAGATTATGCCCTAACTGCCTTCTTATGGCCTTTGATGAGACATGTGATGGATCAGTTAAGGTACGCCATGTAAGGTTATATGACAAGTCATGGTTCCTTGTTGACAGCAAACCAAATGAAAGGCCAAGTAGGTGCTCCTTGTATGATGAAAACTTCAGCCAATCTTGTGATGACAAAGATGCCCGGGCCATCAATGGTGTTGGTATTGATTTAAACCTCGGTAGGTAGACTCCAACACCAACCTCTGTTGTTTGGTCCCAACCAAAGGACCCTGATGCATCCCAGATGTCACCATAGCCAAACAAATTCTTCAACTTAAGTGACCCTTCCAGCGACCAAGATCTTGCCTACAAGAGTAGCGAGCACAGTCACGCATCGATTGTGCAAACGTCTCAGTTAGGTACCCAGAATTTATCGGAATGACTATACAGTTACGCATTTTCTATGTTTTTCTTATTTTAGTCTGCATTTCCCACTCTTATGATGCTGACAACACAAGCTCAGTAAGGATTTTCAGCAGTAAAACTGCAGAAGATATTAGAAAAGAAAATTATTTTAATTGTACTGAAGTTTTTGTATTAGGTACAGGATAAAAGTTAACAGCCTGAAAAAATATTAAACTACTTCACAAAACAAAATAATTAACCATACTGCAAAATATGAGGATGCAGTGAGATTGCTTATCGCTGACAAAAAAAAAAAACATTCATCCCAATCAACTTCTGGGAAAAGGTGTATAGCCAAGTTTCAGTGCAAATTGTATCACATGACATGAAAATAAAGTCAAATACAGCTGACTACAAGGAGATCATGATCTATGTAAGGCTAATAACAAGGAACAATATGGTTTCCAATCATGTACAGTCCAATATGGAAGACAGGGAAAGGAATTTCAAAAGAATAAAATTCCTTTGGTTATCCAAAGAGCAAAACCAACAGTCTCAATACCAGCTCCTAGACAATTTTTTGTAAATACATGTTCTTCTTACTTCCTTTTCCTTTTCCTTTCTGTACATATTTTTTAACATATAGAATATATATATGCAGTAGGTCCTAATGTTGTCCTGTGTGAGCTAAAATAAAAGGTGCATAAAGCAAGGGCAAACAAACATAACACACAATCAATATTCATCAGCAAAAATTATATGCTGAGTTCCTACAAGTAAATTCACAGCTTGACTTAGCAGGAAAATTGCCCTCTCAGCCAGACAAAATATCCTCTGAGTCAGACTGCCAATGTATAACATAAAAGAGCACATGCGGCAAATACTAATGCATGCCAGCATATTTATCAGAAACGTAAATGGAGTAACAGGTCTCCACTATGAAGCTCAAGATCGGACAAACCATAATAACACTAGTTTTTCTTATATGTGTGTGTACAAGTTCAACCATACTAAAACAGTATATGCATGTTTTTCTGTGTGTATTTTTCTGCTCATTATTTAATTTAGACCCATGTAGTTTATTCTCACTGAACAGATAGCGATGGCTAAGAAAATAAAAACAAAAACAAAAACAAAGGTGCACTAATTACTAGCCAGACAAAATACCTCTATGCCAGTGTATACCATGAAAGAACATATGCTGCAAATACTAATGCATGCCAGCATATTTATCAGCAACGTAAATGAAGTAATGGGCCTCCACTATTGAGCTCAAGAATGGTCAAACCGTAATAATACTAGTTTTTCTTAATATTGTGTGTGCAAGTTCAACCGTATTACTTATCTAAAAAAAATTCAACCGTACTACAATATATGCATGTTTTTGTGTGTGTATTTTCTGCTCATTATTTAATTCGAACTCATGCAGTTTATTGTTATTTAACAAAAGCAAGAGCTAAGAAAATAAAAACAAAACAACGATGCACTAACCATTGATAATTATATATAGGTCATGAACTCATGATAAATGTTCATCAAACGACAACATCATATAACCTAGATGATCCAATATCCAACTGGTTCCAGCATGCTACTGTCATCAACGGGTTGAGATTATACAACTAGATACAGAGTGAAAGTTAAGAGCCCCCATTTCATTACTAATTGACTTAGTAAGAGGATAGCCTTTTGGAGTCATGAGGCTTCGATCCTCTCTAATGCAATGTTCCCAACTAGTAGGAACTCATGAGAAAAACATACAAATGATCATAAGGAACACTTGGAAAGTCTGAACCGAAATTCATCACTATACTAAGGAGTAAGGATGTGCTATTTTGGGAATCCGTGCTTCTCAGCTTGCTAGTTACTACTACAAAAAACAGGGTCTCAAAAACTTCCATAAGAATGAACAGCTATATGAATCTAATACCTCACAACATTGATAACCGTTACCCCATGCCTCAACCACACCCAATTTTACCATCTAATGCAATACCTATACACTGAGCCAAGAGAAGATAGCTCACTTCGGGCTTCGAATAGACGCCGGCGGTGCCAGTGAGGGGGTTGGCCGCCTCGACGACCTCGATGACGACGTTGGTGGTGCCGGGCAGCTCGGGCGGCCCCGCGTCGAGCGTGATCTTGACGGCGTCGAAGACGTCGAGACTGTGCAGCCGCGCGGTGGCGACACTGGCGGCGCGGAGCAGATCCTGCACGGTGGGGGCGGCGCGTAGCAGGGCGGCGACCTCCGCCTCGATGAGCTCGTCCCGGGTCTTGGTGTTGCCCTTGATGATCACGTCGTGGACGCGGATGCCCACGGGGTTGGATGACAGCCGCCGTAACACGGACTGCACCCGCTCCCGCTCCGCAGCCTCGGCCGCCGGCCCGTCCAGCTCCTCCTCCTCCTCGTATTCCTCCTCCCCATCCTCGTCGTACTCCTCCTCGGAGAACTCGGCGTCGGATTCAGCAGTGAAGACGTGCCGCTCGGCGTCCTTAGGGTTTTGGCCGGCGGTAGAATCGGCGGCGGCTGCCATGGTTGGGGTTTGGGGGAAGCGGAGGGAGAGCGGCTTTTCTTTTCTTCGTGTTTAGCAAGCTGTGCCGCATAACTAAGCCGAATTTGCCGTTAAAGGATATAGTAGGCCTTGGGCTTTAGCGGGCTGCAAATGCCCTGAACGCACCAAAGCCACTTGTGTATCGGTGGGCTGTGTGCACACAAGATCACGGCCCACTTATAGAAATAGGAAAATGAGAAGAATAAGGCTAGTCTCTATGGGCATGTTTGATAAAAAAAACATTCCCTAAAAAAGATTAAAAAAACATGGCTTGCCTTAACCAGCGAGGCTTTGTATGAGAGTTCTAGCTCGCTTAGCCTGGACCCACATTTCTATTTCAACTTCCTAGTGAGTAAAATATACTACTGTTGACGCTTAATTAGGTCACACACTTGATAAGGAGTTAGATCGCTCGATATAGGGCCTAGCCGATTTTTGGATCGACTGACGCATAGGGGATGTCCACACCTAGACCTTGTGCCTCCAGCGATGAGCGCGATACGCAAGACACGTCGCCGGAGGAGCCTCGTTGGGAGCGCGATACGCAAGACATGCCGACGAGGTCTCTTGAGACCTGAAACCCCACACGCCCTCGAGGGACTCCGTCGAGGGCATGCAACGGCTATGGGCTGTTTTAGCCAGCCTAGCCGCTCTAGAGCTTCGTCGTCGTTGATCCACCGTTCATGTAGCGCCAACGAAGAATGAGAAGTAGAGGGGAAGAGAGGTTAAAGAGAGGTAGTATATTGATTTGTTGTGTTTTGACGATTGGATAGATGGAAACTCAATCAGCCAATAAGGGATAGGGGTGGTCTTATCCCAAAGAAAAACCAATGTGGTACTATTATCATGTTGCTTTATGAAGTTTTCATTAGATTGAGCCAAAACTATCATGGGCCTATTTAAATTGGCTTGGGCCCAATTTGAGTGTCAACATATGCCCCATGTTTTCAGGTGAATGATGCATGAACCTGAAAACACTTATTCAAAACCAAACAACGATGATACCCATCTCATCGGTTCCTTAGTGACTAAGGGCGATGTATACATCGGCCATTTTGGTTCTAAGGACGATACATGTATCGGCCATTATTTGGAGAGCACTTAGGTTTCTTGCCAAACACTTGGAAAAATACTTTTTCAAGTACCTTCCATTTATTGCTTTTGTGAGACTTTCACCTTGTAGTGTCTCTAGCATATACGAATTATCGAATATTACTTTGATCACTTTGTAAGGACCTTCCTAATTTGGTGACCACTTGCCGAACTTGTTGCTCTTCGATCCAATTGGTAGTATGGTTTTCGACACTAATTCTCCCACTTGGAATGATTTGCTTTTGACTTTCTTGTTATATGCCTTGACAACTCGAGCCTTGTCTTTCTCTATCTTCTTGAGAGCTTTTAATCTTGTATCAGTCACCTCATCGATATTATCCATCATCAAATCATGATACATAACAACAGATAAATCATTTTGCTTAGCAATCCTATATGCATCCAAATTCACCTCGACGGGTAACACAACCTCTTGACCATATACCAACTCAAAAGGAGTAACCTTTGTGGCACCAAGCCTTGAAATGCAATGTTCCCATAGAGCTTCAGACAATACTTCATGCCACCTCCTTGGATTTTCCTTAATCTTTTTCTTGATAAGCTTGATCAAAGTCTTATTAATAGACTTAGCCTAACCATTAGCTTGTGCATATGGAGAATTGAGAAACTTAATTTTATATAATTCGACAAATTCCCTCACTTCCTTGGACACAAATGATGTCCCTTGATCGGTAGTTAACGTTTGAGGGATGCCAAATCTATGGATAATATGCTCAGTGATGAACTCAATTACCTCCTTATGTGTCATATTCTTCAAAGGACCTGCCTCGGTCCACTTTGTAAAGTAATCCGAAGCAACCAACACAAATCGGTGTCCCTTTAAAGATGGGGGATGTATTTGGCCAATGAAATCTAGCCCCAACCACGAAAAAGCCATGGTTTGATAATCGAATGAAGCATAGCAGCAGGCACAAGTTGAATATTTCTAAACTTCTAGCACTCTTCGCATCCTTTGTAGTAACAAAAGCAATCGGCCATCATAGTAGGCTAATAAAAACCGACTCTACGCAATAACCACTTCATCTCTAGGGCCGATTGATGCGCACCACAAATGCCTTCATGGACTTCTCCCATAGCCACTCTTGCTTGATCTAATCCCAAGCACTTAAGCAACAAGTCTTTGGCGGTTTTCCGATAGAGCTCATCGTTATGCAAAACATATTTGAAAGCGCTCCGCCGAACACTTTTATCAATTTGAGCACTTGGATCACATAGATATCTCACTGAAAGTTATGTCAGGCTGATTTTGGGAGCTTCTCAGGTGAATTGACTGGACTGGTCATAGGGGAGTCGGCTGAGCTGACTGGGGCAGTCGACTTAGTCGACTTGGAGTCAAGTTAGCCGACTAGGGCAGTCGGCCTCACTGACTTGGCCACAATAGAGAGGGAGTCGACTAAGCCGACTAGGGCCGACTGGTCTACACCTGTAAGGGAAAAAATTAAATTTTCATGCATCAACTGTTCTTGAATATGAAAATTACGCCCACCGATGTCATAGCCAAATGCTTGTTGAGCTACCATGTTGGTCTTTTGATTTTCATGCCTCGAAATATGCTGAATTCGAAATTCGGCAAAATAGTCAATGATATCAAGGCAAGCATCAAGACAAGTTCTTAGTGATCCTTCTAAACATTGAAATTCATTAGCAACTTGTTATACCACTAGCAAGGAATCAACATAAGCTTCAACATGTTTTACCTCCATGGAATGAAACATGATCAACCCAAAAAGAGAACTTCATACTTGGTTTGATTGTTGGTGCAATAGAAATCTAATCGACTTGACATCCCAATTTTAGCACCATTGGGAGAAACAATAATAATACCAACACCTTGGCCATCTTTACAAACCGATCCATCAAAGTAAAGTTTTCATGGAGTAAAAGTAAGGTAATTGAATTCATCATCTAAATCAATACCATGCTCAATAATAAAATCATCAAGAACTTGACCTTTCAATGTTTTCAATGGTTCAAAAGTCAAGTCATATTCAATTAGTGTGTATGCCCATTCACCAATCCTTGTACTAAGGATTGGCCAATGTAACATGTGCTTAATAACATCGGCCTAGCAAGCCATCATGCGTGTACTAGATCAAGTAATGTTTTAATTCAGCACACACATAGTACAACGCTAAGCATAATTTAAAGCATGGGCATACCTTGTCTCAAGAAGACATCAACCAACATGGATGATAGCATATCCTTTCCTTTTGTCTCCTTGAGTCAACACAACATAGATACACCCTCTTCAGTAATAACATATAATGTGAATAGAGATCCACTCCTAGATGCATGAAGAACAAGTATTATTGATAGAGAATTCTTGAAAAGCGTGATTAACTTATTTATAATTGGCTTCTAAATTTTGTCCTGCATACGTAGGACATGGTCTAATGCCAAATCCAATGCCAATTTGCTCACATGGATTGGCCGACGTAATCCCCTGTCCAAACATAATTTACACTACATGATGATATGGAGCCGATCATTAATTGGCTCTTAGAGAAACGGGAGCAAAGCCTCCTCTGCTAATTCAAAACCAGCAAGGTCTCTCCCTAACAAGCAAATCATATCATCATGCCCCCCAAGCAAAGGGGCATTGGCCGTGGTATAAGACGATGAGTTTGCATGGACGATCACAACTTCATTATTCACCCATTGAATGAGGAACTGGTGCAAACTAGAAGGCACACATCGATTGCCATGAATCCATTCATGCCCAAGAATCGAACTATAGCTCCCTTGCACCTCCGCAACGAAGAAGACGGTGGCCAATGTTTTGCTCCCGATAGTAAGCTTCATCAAGGCAAGTCCCTTAGCTGAAATAGATTCCTCCAACACCTTTGACCATCCTCTTGGTCTTAATCAGCTCCTCATCAGATTCACCAAGCTTCTTATAAAGTGAATATGACATTAGATTCACCATGGCTCCGTTATCCACCAACATGTTGTTCACTAGTTTGCCATTAATGCAACCCTTCACATGTAGTGGCTTGAGGTGATTCACGTGGTCTACTGGCTTCTGAAAAAAGCACTCTAAGGAGGAAAGCCATCTTGATTTCCAGAAGGCCCCCAAACACCTACAGGACAAAAAAATAGGCGCCGAATCAACCGAAGGCATATCAGCGACTGCTAGAATCATGGGAGTCGGCTTAGCCGACTTAGAATCGGCTAGGCTGACTTGCACAATGGCCAGAGAAGCTATAATAGAAGAAGTCGGCTTGGCTGACTTGGCCAGAGGCAGGGGAAGTTGACTTAGCTGACTAGGAAATCGTCTCAGCCGACTTTGAGCAGGCGGCCAGCTCTTTCTCGCTTGACTGAGGAAGAATTGGATCCATCTTATTGAAAATTTGTTTCCCCATATTTGCTAGCCCTTCTTGCTTAAGCTTCTTGTAACGAGCACGCTAGAGTTTGCGATTTTGCGTTCTCGACAAACCCGAAGGGCACCATGTCGGTTGGAAGTTCTCAGGAGCCGATATGCTACTTTGGGCATCATGATCATTGGCAGCAATGCCCCTTGATATTTTCTCCACATCAGATTTGGTCCAGATTGTCAATGACAATCGGTCCTTCACTTTCTTTGATTGGAGCATCTGCAGAACTGATTTTGATGATAATTTGCTCATTGGCCTTTTCTATGGGATTAGTGAGAACTTTCTTGTCCCTCAACACATACAGTTGCTCTGCTGATACCTTACTCTTTTGATGGCCTAATTAGCAAGTTTAACCAAAACTGGCTTAATCGGTCCTGCCTTGCTGGAGCTCGATTGGCCATAGCTCAATCGGCTCTGAGGGATACATCGTTGCTCATTGTGAACTAAATCAGCAGGCATCCTCCATCGGTGAGGATTTTGATGTATTAATGGGTA